ACCTGTGAAGTCATGAAATATTTAGTTAGGCAGGTAAAAATCCAAGAGATTCTCTAAACATGTAAACATTTAAAAGGCAGCAAGCATATAACAACTTTAAGATCTTTACATATTAACTCATTAATCATTACAAGAACTCAGTGAAGTGGTACTGTTGGTATTCTCATTTTACAGAATTAGAAATAAGAAAACTCAGAAAGGTTAAGCAGATTACTCCTTAAACCACACACACACACACACACACACACAGAAAGGAGTATAGCTAGCTTTCAAATACAGCACATAAAAGGTTTGACTTCTTTTGTTATACAGCTTCTCAGGTCTCTGTGTCAGGGAAGAACTGACTGTACAAAGAACAGAGTGTTAGCATGCTGTGGTACTAGTTTCCAGAAGTTTGAGTGGCATCCAGTTTTCTTATTTTGGGGGCTGTTAGCTATGACTCATCTATAAGGCAACAGCTCTTTTACTTACTGTGTATCCCGTCACCCAGAAGATTTGATAAAACCCGATAGCTGAACTCAGCCCCAAAGTGTTCACATCAGTGGTTCCAGTATGGACCCAAAATTTGCATTTCCTAGCAAGTTCCAATGTGGTGAAGGTGCTGCTGGCCTGAAGATTATACTGCAAGAAACACTGGCTGAGAAAACACATTCCCAACCTCCCCAAAATCTTATATCTGAAGCTTTCTATCAGTGAGCGTAGAACTGGACACCACTCTTTCCACATCTCAGAAATCTCAAACTCACCATGTCCAGAACTGAAATGACTATGTTCTTGTTGGAAATATACTCTTCTGCTTATGTCACCTCTTTAAATAATGGCAAAAGCTAACATTTAATGCTTTGGAAGCATCCTTAACTATTTTCCCATCTGCCCACATCCAATCAAAGCACTATGCCGTGTGGATTTTCTCTCTCAACTATCTTTCAATAAATGTTCATTAAACAGTATTGTGTTTTAGACTGGATTCAGCCTGAAAGATGTTGAATATCCAAAAACATCACCACCAGATGACTTCCCCCACTGCAGTAACAGATAACATCACCTTGACACTCTGCAGTTCTAGAAGAGAGAGTGTTTATAGGATTTAGTAGTCTGGCTCAAGTCATTTAAAAACGGACTTTCAAAGCAGGAAATGGCCAGACATTGAGCAAGTGTAACGCCGTAATTGTTTTGGGTTGGTCATCACAGCAAGTTAAAGAGCTTGATAAGTAAACTGCTAGTTGATAAGCAAGTTGTTTGCCTAGGTGAGCAGAGTGTCATCTCAGATAAATCGATTTGCAGGAATTACCTGAGGCAAATTGTGCAGCTATGTATTGGTTTGCTGCCTTATCTTTCTTGGGCAAATGTTTCCCAGGACAAAATGCTAATTCCTGTTGACACAGGTGGGCTCTGTTCTTAGTCCTAATAACTATGTCATGTTGACTGATGGAGGTCATCGTGGTTATCAAAGACACTGTACCTGAGACCTAAGGAACTTATATTCTTGTGCACAGGCACTGCCAATTCTAATTTATTTTATAAAGTACAAAGTGTATAGGAAAGAAAAAATATCTGGATCTTCTTATGGAAGCCTCCACAGTAGAAGTAGCACAGACTTTCAGTGGATAAGGGGATGAAGATACTCAAATCCAAGGAGAGGAAGGATAACATGGAAAGCTGCTAGATGTAAGGCATCACAACATCATCTTTTTCATACCTGTGCCCCCAGGTTCTGGTTCAGGCATTCATCTCTTTTTCTAATTATTATAAATGTCCACTAGCTGATCTCACTGTTCCCCATCTTGTATGGCACATTCTACTTCACTATGCTAAAGCTGTGTGTAATGCAGGCACATTATATTCAGCTCATGGGACAATCGCAGTGCTTCTCTTGAGAAGGGAAAAAGACGGTCAGCAAAGCACTGGGTCTTTCTAGGTTGTGTGGGTCCATAGAGTGGCTCCTTTTGCTGCTAGATCTCTCATAGGAAATGTATAAATGTCTGGGATTCTGAGGTGGAGGGGTGATACCCACCCTTCTTTTCCACTAGCAAACCCAAATGAATGAGAAACCAAAGGACATCCAGACAGGTCTTTATGTTAGGTTTCCAATAATAAAATACAGTGTATACAGAATGTCAAGGGAAGGTCAGGAAGAACTTTGGGTGATTTTGTGACTTTTATTTTATCTAATTCTTACCCTTATAAATGACCATTTCTTACCCTTATAAACCTCCCTGGAGCCCCAGCACGCTTCCGTATGGATATTCCCTCAAGGGACACTGCGCGCCTGGGTTCTCTTCCTTTTACTTCATGCTGTCCTCTTCTTATTTCCTCCAGGCTTGGAATTTTTACTTCCTCTTCCTCCTCTCTTCTCGGATGGTAGACTTTCTTCCAACAATTATTAGGCCTCTAGTCTCCTATTAGTTCTTAGTCTGAACATTATACTATGAGAAATGCTGATTAAGAAAATATGCTACCAACCTCTCCTACAAATCTTACAGCGAAAGTCTTTCATCACTAAGCATAGAATTTGACATCTCTATTTCCACATCCCACAGATCCTAAGACCAGGATGGTCTCATGTTAGGGCTTCTGGTTTTCAGTTGGGAATTTACCTCTACAGCCAGTAAAGAGGAGAAAGGGCAGTTCTATTACTGAGAAGAGGAACAAATAGACTGAGTTTGATTGCCTACTTTGCACTGTAGCTTGATTTTAGTTTTCTGTTCTCCTTTTTTTAAAAAAATCCATATCTTGCAAAAGTCAATCTCCAGCCAATAAATCACCACATGCAAATATGAAATTCATGCCCCCTCTTCTAGAGTACTGTTTAATTTATTTCACGTTTTTAAAAACTGTGTCATTCTCCTTATCAAGCTGAGCAGCATTAGAAAATCCTTTTCCCATTAATCTAGCTCTGGGAGGTATCTTATTCAATCACCTCTTCTCAATTCTTGGCCACATTTCCCTCAAATGCAGTGCAGAGAGACAAGGACAGTCCTGCGACCTATCTCACCACATAAGCAAACTACTTAACACCCTCTGAGTTTCTTCATTGCTTGGAAACAGAACACATGCCTACTCCCCAGAGAAGCCACACCTGAACCCCAACCAATTGCTGCTCCGATTCATCAATGCAACTTTTCAGGAGAAGCCGGACATATGGGGATCTCAGTAAAATGTCTCTAGTTTTAAATCTTGGCTGACATAAGTAAAATAAAGCAAAAATAAACAGAAAATTCATCACCAAGATAATGTATATTTTCATCATCTGGCCCAAATTTCTTATCAAAGTAAAGAAGCAGGTCTTTGCCTCTCCTCCTGCCTCATCTCAATTTATCTTCCACAAAATAACTACAATAATATTGTAGTTTAATTGTGGAATATTCCACAGTGATTTAGATCCCAGGTTTATTGCAAGGTGGTGGAGCTTTGAAGAGGTGGGTACAGAGGGAGGACTCCAGTCACTGAAGATGGGCTCTTGAAGGATATGGTCACTTCTTGGTCTCTTTTTTGTTTTCTAGCCCTGTCTTGTGCTGTCAAAATCCCAAAGCCAGAGGGGTCAACTCATCATGGATTGAAATGCCTACAATTGTGAGCCAAAATAAACTTTTTCTTATTATAAATTGATTACCTTAAGTATTTATATAGTGATAGGAATAGAAACATCTTTTAGAGTTCTCACTTCCTATGTCTTTGAAAGTATGTTTTTCTTCTACCTGAAATTTTTTCACATATATTATCTATCTGGCAAATTCCTATTCCTTTATCAAAGCCCTTTGGATGTTCCATCTCTTCTTTGAAGCCTACCTGCATCAATGAATCCCCCAAAACTATTCTCTCTGCTCTGTTAATTCTATCTCATACACAATGCTGCTTTTATTATTAGCTTTCATTTATTGAATACCTACTTTGTTCCAGACACTGTGAAGCAAAAGAGTTTTAGGAAGAGCAAAATACTTCTTTAGAGCTACAAAATTAAAACAAGAACCCAGACTGTAATCAAGAGCTGCCTCCAAATGATATGCATCATCCACTGCCAGGTTCTACATCCTATTTCTACATGAATTATTTGTTTGCATTCATTCCCCTTCCCCCTTAACTGGGATTGCCTGACAATATAAACAATGTTTTATTCATCTTTGTATCATTACTCTCTGGAATATAATATGCATTCAACAAATGTTTGCTGAACTGAAGTGGACGGTGTTTTAAATGCAAATCATATTAACTTTATACAATATTGCTCTATCTTCATTTCATTGATTATTTCTTGGTATTTATCTAGCTATATTGTTTTCATCTTGAATCATTAAAATAAGTCCAATGTGATTTTTTCAAATTCATTTCACTCCAAAAGGATAACGAAGCCAAAGGCAGGATTGTCGTCATTTTAATAGCAGTACACATGATTCGAGCAATTACTTTTGAGGCATGCTTTAGGAAGCAGAATATTAGCTCACTAGCTCCTAAATTCCAAACCTCAGTTTCACAAGAAAAGATCTCAATTTGGGAAAGAAAAATCATTTATTTTAAGCAAATTTATTTTACCTATATTTAGCATATCCTCTACATCCTGAAAAAATTTATAGATGGGATATAATTGTGAATATGTTTTCTTCTATATACTGTGCTGATATGTGTACTTTATGTACAGCAAAATGACCCTAGATAGCTACATTCCAGCAAAGAGGAACAAATTTGTGCTCAACCATTTAAATTTCCCCTTGAGTTTTCCGCAAAATACAGTACATGGCCTGAAGGAAGGAGAAAGTCTGACTTGATGAAAACTCTCTGGTGGATGTGTAGATGGGATCTATGAACGAAATCTTAATGCGCCAGACTGAAATCCAATATTTAGTTATCTTTTCTCTGTCCCAGAGTCCCCAAGGAATCCAGCATATTCTTATCCGTAAGGTTAGCTAGAAATCTTATGATAAGAGAAAAGAAAAATGGGGATTGGGGTGGGTATCGACTAAGACGCTACTCAGAGTACCAGGAGATCATACGGAGTTTCTCACCACCACTTCTGATCAAGCATCTCCATGGTGGGCTGACTCCCAGCTCCCTTTTTGAATGGTCCCTGTCACAGAAAGAAAAAAGTTTTATTCCAGTGGAGGACTTGGGTAGAGCTCCCTTGGGGTCATTCATTTCTGAGACTGAATTGCATTTTATCTGAATAGATTACTTCTGAGAGAAGAGATTTGCTTTGAAATTTTCTAAGCGTAACTCTCTTGAGACTCTATAAAATACTTCCATCTCTACATTTTGGTAAAAAGAAGTAAGGGCAAATATCATACCTCAAAAATGGAAAATGAAATTCTTCGGGAGTGTGTCAAATATAACTATTCTCATTACGATATCACAGACAAATGTCCTCCTCCTATCCTTTACTCCCAGGGCCTGAGTAAGGTAAGAGCTGTCCCCAGCCTACCTATTTAGTCCCCCTCATGGGTGACAAGAACGTCTCACTCAGTCTTTTATCTCCTTATCCTGTTCTGAGAATGCCCAGAAGGGAAGTTACCTACACATAATCAGAGTCATGCCAGGAACACTGTGTTCTCACTGTTCTAAAATTTTATAAACTAAGAGGCAGAGGAAGTCCTGTTCTTTGAGAGTGAACAAAATGCAGTTTCTCCAGATGTCTCAGCAGTCTTCTGTGCTCCCAGAACTTCAGTGTCTGTGCTACTGCCTGGAGCGCCTGGTCTCCTCGGCCTGCCTCCATACTGACTGTGCTCCAAAGCCCTTGCTGAGAAGCGCCTTGAACTTCCTACACAGTGTGATTGCCACCGTGAACCTCCCTGCTTTAGCGCAGCAGTTCTCAACACATGGCCCAAGCAATGGCAGCATGATCATAAGCTGGAAACTTACTAAAACTGCAAATTATTGTGCCTCAGCCCAGAATTCACCAGCCTGAATTCCTGGTGTGCAACTTACAGATCTATGTTTTAAGAAACACTAGTTGATTCTGAGGCTTACCAAAATTTGAAAGTCACTCCTTGATAGCAAAACTGTTCCAAGTGTGGTCCTTAGATCTTAACACCATTGTGACCTGGAGGCTTATTAAAATTCCAGTTCTCTAGTTGTAGTCTGAACATGTGGAACCAGAGCCTCAGAATTCTGTTGCAACAAGCCTTCTAGTTGATTCTCATTACAGGCGTAATTGGAGATTTACTCTCTTAAAGCATTTCTGTTTGCTTTTACTCACTTCTGGGCTCCTAGTCTTATCTCTTTTTAGCATAGAAGCATGGAGTTTAGAGACCCAAGTACCACAGTTCTTTCTAATACATTTATCCCTGTCCTTTTACCTTCTCAATGAGTACCCGTGCTGCTCAAGTTTTTAATGTGATGGGTCAAACACTACTTTGCCGGGTCTCGATTATCCTAACAGATCATTTCTTCTCATAAAGGATATTACTTTCAAGAGCCCAGTGGCTTCTGTAAGGATACTATGACATCTAGGAAGGTGTTGTGTGCTCAGAGCACTAAGAAAGCACAAACAAAATTTCCTTCTAGTGTAAGAACTATGGAGATAGACTGTCAGATCACACCAGGAACACTGATGAGTCTCAACACTATCCAGAACTCAACCAGAATGCCCTGTTACACATTCAAGGATGGAAGAAATATTTAGAAAGGAATTGCCATATGTGAAGATGCTGGTTTGGTTTGATTTTGAATATTATATTTGCTGAGATGGCAAATTGTCCACAGAAAGAGAAAATATAAAAATAACATGAAGCAAGAAAAGAATTCACTATGTCTCCTATTTTTGTTTCCACAAAAACACACACAGAAAGGCATGGATTCAAAGTAACCCTGAGGGCTTTGCGAACATCCAGAATATAGAATATTGATTTGGAAGGTTTGAAGGACTGCTTCAAGGGCAGACATCAGATAATCATGGGAAAGATTAAACAAAAAGAGGGTCTGCTCTGAATGAAGAGAAGGCCACACAAAAGTTGGGATTGGGTCAGCATGAAGAATTTCACTTCGTTCCCGGTACCGGAGAAAAACCAAAAAAAAAAAAAAAAAGAATTTCACTTCTTATAAGCAATTTAATGATAAAGCATTAGTGATATAGTAAATGAAGAACCAATAATAAATTAATATTATTTT